AACCACAATGTTGTTCATGTAAAACCTTCATACTATTGCATATCAATGATACTTTAATAGAAAAAATTCCTATAACACAGTAATAAAAAGACAACCCAATTAAAAAAAAGGACAAAATTTTTGAACAAATACTTCACAAAAAAAACATATATAAATGGCCAATGGCCAATAAGCACATGAAAAGTGCTCAGATATCTTTAGTCACCAAGAAAATGCAAATTAAAACCACATAACATAATTCTCCACACTCACCAAAATGGTCAAGCTTTAAAAAGTTGATAATAACAAATGTAGTGAGAATGTTGAAGAACTGAACTCTCATACTGTGTTGGGAATGTCAAATGTACTATCAATTTGGAGCAATATGTGGCAGTTTCTTATAAAACTGAGTAATTAACCTACCTTATAACCCAGAAACTATACTCCTAATTATTTATTCAAGGAAATGAAATTGTATGCTTATACAAAGATTTGGAGAAGAATGTTCATAGCAGTTTTCTTCCTAATAGCCAAAACCTGGCTACAGTCCAGGTGTCTATCATCTTAAAAAAAGGATAAACAAACTGTGGTCTATCTCTACAATGGGATACCACTTGTAATAAAAACAGACAAAATATGGATACACACAACAACATGCACAGGTGAGTCTCAACATGAGTCAAAGAAGCCAAACAGAAAAAGCAATATCCTATTTTACTCCATTTATATAAATTGTGGAACAGACAAAACTAATTTACAGTGTAAGAAAATTAGAACAGTGGCTCCCCAGGAGGGTGGGGTGAGGATAACTATCTACATCTTGGTAAGTGTTTGGATGTCATACAGCAAACTAGCGGTAGGGCAGGGCTTTGAACCCCAGGGGCCTGGCCCCAGAGGCCATGGTTTATTATATTATATTGCTTTGCCGCTGAGAGGCTACAGCCTTGGCTGTGGATAAGATTACCTAGGAAGAGTAGCCTGTGAAGACAGGAGGCTGAGAAGGGCCTCCCAGAGAGGTAGGAGGAAGACCAGGAAAGAGAGACCTTGAAAACCAATGGGGGTGGGGAGGCTCACTCAAGAATGGTTAACAGTGTCGAACATTGCTGAGAGGTCCAGCAAGAGAAGGCTGCTGTTCTCAACACCTAGGAGGGCAGCTGTGACATGGACCACAAAAGTTTCACTGGGCTGCTGGGAACAGCAGCTGGCTGGCAGTGCACTGAGGAGGTGAGGAAGGGAAGAGAATGAATGTGAGTAACTTTCCCAAGAAGCTTGGCTGCACAAGGGAAGACAGAGAGAGACAGTAATTAGTGTGTTAGTTAAAGGGCTGGGATTTCCTTGCCAAGGCTCAGTCCTGACCACAGCTGGCTCCATCCAGACATACTTGACTTCGGCCACCCACCAAGGCTGCTGCTTATCCTTCTGTGAGGTGAAGGTATGCTGGCCACAGTAAGCCTCTGACAGTCCCAGGGCTCCATTTGGAAACTTGCTATCAGCTGACTCTGCCACTGCTCACATCCTGTCACCCTTGGCAAGCAAGCCTCAGTGGGTGTCCACCCTTCTCCACTTGGCCCATTGCTTATTCTTCCTGACCATCCTTGCACTGCTCCCCACCCACCTCCTTGCACACAGCCCTGGCCAATTTAGGCTCAGACTATCCTTGCCCCTCCTTGCTAGTCTGAAATCAGACTCTTGCCTAAGGATATTCTTTCTTTAACAAGATCTCACATATTCTCCCAGCTGCACAAGACAAGTGGTGACGGGAGCATCGGTGTCAGCCTGCTCTGGGCTCTCCATTTCTGATAGTCAAAATAGCTCCACCAAGGTCTCAGTTAGGGATGCATCTAGCAGCAAGTAACATAAGACCCAATAAAAACAAACTGAACAAAGAGGAGTTCTGGAGCAGATCAGGGTTGATTTACTCATCAAGAGTTTTCTACCTCCTCACATCGCTTCTCTATCCTCAGTGGTTGACAGTATCTCCCCTCATAGTTGCAACACGGTTGCAGATGTTTCACATATGGACTTGGAATTGAGGAAAAACAAAATCTTTCCCAAGAGCCCCATAAAGTCCTATTGACCAGGGGAATGGGAATACCATGATGGCTGGACCAGTGAGATTCATCCCCTGAATGCATGGGAAGGGAACCCCTGGTCAAAATCCAGACTTTGCCAGCAAGGGAGAAGGGCTTACTGCTGAGTAGGTACCATCAGTGCTTGCCCCGCATTTACAGATTCCTCTTCCTTTTAAGGGTCAGCCATTTCACCTTTCATTAAGATGTGATATGTTGCCAGGCAACAGCAATTAGTATCCAGACTAATTGGGTTCAAATCCCAGATCTCTCTCTTGCCAGCTCTCTGGCCTTGGGAGTTTCCATTTGTAAAATCAGGGCTATCAGTGTTATCCAGTGGAGCTTTCTGTGATGATGGAAATGTCCCATGTCTGTGCTAGTATAGTAGCCATTAGCTGTTGGTTATTGAATATTTGAAATTTGGCTACTGCATATGAGAAACTGATTTTTTTAAATCTAAAATTAAGTAGCCACATATGATTGGTGGTTACTGTATTGGGCACACAGTTCTATCTCATAGTATTGTAGGATCAACATACAGTGCTTAGATTTTTTAGTGGAAATTGAAATAACATATAAACCCTTACTAAGTGTTAGTTCTTACAATTTTTGCTGTCATCCTCTGATGTCCTGGTCACTTGACCACACTCCCTACAGTAGTTGGCATCTGACTCACTGTTTCTTGTCCACTTCAGGTCTTTTGCAGACCCAGATGGCTTCAGCATCCATGCAGGAAGTCCTGCCAGCACCCTGGCCTCTTGATTCCCTCCCCTCCACAATTCCAGTGACTCACCTCCATGTCACTATAGCTCCACTCTCCCCGGAGAGCTGGACTGAAATCTTACCTCCTTGTCTCTGACCATAACACTCTAGTTTTTTCTTTCCTTTGTGCCCAGGAAGCCTTTTCTTTGGGTTTGCTGAGATTTCCAGTTCCTTGACTCTGTTCTTTTCTTACCCCCTGGTTCCTCATGCCTTTACTTCCCTTCCTAAGCAGCCTTCATTCCACAATGCTTCACTTTTACTCCTCCACCAAATGGCCTCCTCCTCTGTTATTATTAAACTTCTGAACTGTCCTCCTGGCTTCAGACTTAACTTTAAATCCACCCTCCACACTACACCTAGGTAGTTTCTCCACCAAATTTCATCATATTACTCACCTACTTAAATCCTCTGATGCTCCCATTGCCAACTACTACCCATTTCTAGAAGGTACCATGCTCCCTCAGTATCCATGCTTTTGCACATGCTAGATCCTCTTCCTGTTTTACCTCTCCTCTTGTTCTTTGCCTGAATAACTCCTATTTTCCCTCCAAGATTCATTTTAGCTGTGGCCTCCTCCAGGAAGCTCTCTATGATCTCCCCTATCCTCTACCTAGTTTAAGTGCCCCTCCAAAGAGCTCCCATGGCACCTTGTACCTCACTGGAATCATATCCCTGATTATCTTGTAGTATCATTGTTTGTTAACTAATCTGACTCTCCCCTTAGCTGTAAAAGCCTGAGAACAGTCACCCAACAAATTTTTATTGAATTAACTAAATACAGATTTTGGGCAGATTGGTTTTGTTTGTTTTCTATCAGTTTGATTTTACTTTTTTAAAGGTGGGAGAAATTTGAACATGCTTATAGGCTGACAGCAAGGAGATGTAATAATTAGAGAATGAGAGGTTGGAGATTTGGAGGATGGGGGCCAATTAGTGGAACAGTGTCTGAGGAAGCAGAAGAGAGGGGTCATGAGCACAGGTGGAGGAACATATCTTGGGCAGGAGCAGGGACAGAGACACCCTTTCCTCTAAGCCTGCAGGGAGGGTGCAGGTGCTAATAAGCATATCTGGGGAAGTTTCCAACTGATGGCCTCTGTTTCCTGTAATCTGAGTGGTGAGTTGGTATCAAGGTGGATGGAAATTTGGGGAGAATGGCAAAGGCCTGAGAGACAGGGCTGGCAAGGAGCCTGCAGCAGCTCCTCACACTCCTGTGACCTTTCCTTCTATCCCTCAATCCTCCACAAATCTCAGGACACTATCCACTGTTCCCAAACATGGCACCCGCTCATCTTATTGTGAAATGTATTGAGCTCCTACCATCAGTCCATCACTAAGTTTAGGCTTATATAAGAGTGTATGTAAAACATTTAGCCCAGCACCAGGTACACAGTAAACACTCAGTAAATGGTAGTCATTGTTTTCACTCACACGAATGCATGTTATAGTTTCTAGCTGCACAGCAGTATGTACAGTATGATGTGAATCCCCACCCTCCAGGAGCTTACGTTCTCCTGTAAGAAGGATGTACCCATAAAATAATTGAAGAGCAATGCAAAGTGTTATGTGATGGTTACCAACACCCAAACGGTGCTTAGTTTTGCTTTTTTTTTGTCCCAGCCTGTACTAAAAAGTATTTTGTATCAAGATATGTATATAAAACTAAAGCAAAAGTTTCATTAAACAATACTTATCCTTTGTGTGATGCATGCTGATATTTTCTACTCTATTCTGCTTTGTTTTTAAAAAATGGTGGTCAAAGCTCACTGTTATGGGTTGAATTGTTACCTTGAAAATTTATATTTTCATATGTTGAATTCGTATGTCCCTTGAAAATTCACATTCATATGAGGTACCCCAGTACTTTCTGAATGTGATGTTATTTGTAGACAGGGTTTTTACAGAGGTAATCAAATTCAAATAAGGTCCATAATTTAAATGGACTGATGTCTTATAAAAAGGGGAAATGTGAAGGGGACTGGGGGCATAGATGAAATAGGTGAAGGAGGGAAAACATTAGTGAGAATGTTGATATCCTGATCACAGCAACAGTTACATAAGTGTATACACATGTCAAAAGTCATCAAGCTATATACTAAAATTTGTGCATTTTATTGTATGTACCTTAATGAATTTTTTTTTAAAGGGAAATTTGGAGACAGACTGGCATTACAGGGAGAACACCATGTGAATGTGAAGACAGCCAAGAGAAAGACCTGGAATGGATTCTCTCATAGCCCTGAGACTGCGGAACCAACTCTGCCAGCACCTTGATCTTGGACTTCTCGCTTCCAGTACTGTGAGACAATAAACAGCTGTTAAGTCATCCAATGTGTGCTTTGTTACAACAGACATAGCAAACTAATACACTCTTCAGACTGATTTTGTGACTCACTATTGGGTTGCAACCTACTGTTCACAGACTACAAAGTTCTTCTTATCTATGCTTTCTCTTGTGCAATCTTTCTAGCCACTTATGGGGATGGCAGGGCCTGAAGGAGGGTGAGGCAAGTCACTCACTCTCAGCGTTGTGCCAGTGGGGGTGTCATTACTGAAAGTCTGGCCCACTCTGCAGTTGCATGACCTAAAGATGGGGCCCTCCTTAAATTTGCACCCAAGACACCATCCCAGCCTAGGCCCTGCGAGGCAGTTCCAACTACTGTTCCACTTGAGGGGTTGACACACAGTCACCACGCTTTTAAGTGGAGTTGGACTCAAGCCAGATTTGCCTCTAGAGTCTGAGTTCTTTTCATAGCATCCCAGTGTTCCCCCATTGGTGTAGATAGAGAAGATGACAATAAATATTGTTTTCCTACCAGTACTTGCTCCTTGCCTTCCTACTTCCCAAAAGGAGCCATAGATAGAGGCTGCATTCGTTCTTCCCCTCCTCTTGCCAATGTTCGGGGGACATTGGGCTTCTGAGACCCTGAAATGGTGAAGCCTGAATTCACCTGCTGTCTGTGGAGGTCTGCAGGCAGAGAGGATGCCTGGAAGCACATACAAAGTGCATGCACCACAAAAGCCCTTGCGATCCTAGCATAGCTTGGCTGCACAAGCTCATGGACAGATTCCTGCCTACCATCTCCACCCCTGCTCTCCTTCCTCCTTAATTCACTGCCTTCCAGATACAGTAAATACATGAGCACATAGACCTCGAATAGGCTCCATCTTTGTGGCGGTAATATTACCCCCGAGCCCAGGGACCCCTATAGAGGAGGGAGACCCTTCTACCTTCTTCATGCCTGGTTTATTCTAGACCACAAAAACAGTGCCTGACTTAACTACGTGCCAGGCATTTTCACATTTCATTCTCACAACTTTATGCATTAAGGCTATCATTTGCTCCATTTTATGAATGGTTTTATGGATGACAAAACTGAAGTACAAAGAGTAACTTGTCCAGAACTCTGCAGTTACCGTGTTGACCAGATCTGAAACCAAGCAGTCTGTCTCCAGAGTCCCAGTACTTGTTAGCCTCTGTTGCCCTTCCCCCACCCCCAGCACACATGTTCACGTGCACTATTGCACACACATGCCCATCCACATGGGACCAGGCGGGAGGAGCCGGGTTTGGGCTATCAGTCCAGGCACCAGGGGGCAGCATAGGCCTAGCTTTAACCTCTTAGCCCAGCCCTGTTTGGGGAGAGAGAGGGAGTAGATGTCTCCTCCCACTTTCTACAGCACCGCCCCCCGCACCAGAGACCACCCTCTCCACACCCTATGTCTCTGGTTTGGGGGCATGAAGGTGTCTCTGGGTCCCTTGGCTTTTTCCTGCTCCTCCTCCAGCAAAAGCTTCAGAAGCCAACCACTCGTCATGATGACTCAGAAGCTGAGCCAGCCTGTGTGTGTGTGCGTGTTGCACGGTGACTGCATTTGACTTTGAGTGCTGACATGTCTGTGAGCTTGCCCACATGTGTGTAAGCATGTCTGTATGTGTGTGTGGTCTTGTGGCCGAGGAAGTTGTGCATGTGCGGGTTTGTTTCTGGGTGTATCCCAGTGTTAACCCCAGAAACAGGAACTTTGACAGGCTGCACAGCAGATTCATACTCAGACTTGTCCCTTTGGACCCTGCAGGCTGTGCCAGTTCCAACCAGGAGTGTAGCACCCTGTGAGAAGGGGGCAAAGACGGTTTTCAGTCCAGGAGACTCGTTCCGGGGTCTTCCAGAATTCTGAGCTTTGGGGTCTTCTCCTCCACTCCCCCCCTCAGTGGTCACGCGACCTCTAAGGCGTTCCTTGCCAAGAAGGGAGGGGACTTTGGAGTTTGAGCTCCTTGGCTACTTTTCAGGGTCGTCCACTGGAGGGAGCGCAGAGCCCAGAGGGATTTTGCTTTTGCAGAGGCCAGGACAAGCCCAGTCCCTCAAGAGCCCCAGACACAGGGCCCTGTGAGAATTTGAGTATGGGAGAGGCAGTTTGGGACGGCATGTCTCTGCTCGGTATTAGGTGACTTTCTGGAGAAAAGTCGATACGTTTTGAGGGGACAGAGCAAGCGGAGACCAGCCTCCCCTGTAGCTTGGCCTCACGGCCCCCAGCCTCCGTCCTTACTCCCTCACCTCAAACTCCCCAACCAGGCACAGGAGGCACATAAGCTCACCCCACTTTCTTCCTCTTCCTCCTCCAGCCCACTTTCTCTTCTCTGTGTCGTCAGAGCTCCAGGGAGGGACCTGGGTAGACAGAGAAGCCGGAAACAGCAGGCTGGGGCAGCCACTGCTTACACTGAGGAGGAAGAACGAGAGAGGATTGCGTGTGCGTGCGTGTGTGTGTGTGTCTGTGTCTGTGTACTTTCTTTCCGGTGGTGGTGGTGGAGGGAGGGGGTGCTAGCAGGGCCAGCCCTGAACTCGCTGGACAGAGTTACAGACCCATGGGGCCTGGCAGTGCCTGCTGAGCGGGAGAAGACAGCAGAGGGGTTGCCAAGGTGAGGGGATGGCTCCGAGGAGGGGCGGGCGGGGGCCTCTTACTCGGCGTGGCGGGGTGGGCTGGCGGGGTTGGGGGCGCCTCTCAGGACCCTCCCCTGGGTGAAGTGGGTGGTCCCCTGGCGATAGTTTCAGGTGCTGTTGGTGCTGGGTTTGGCAGTTTCGAATTTCTCAGAAGAGTCCGAGATGCGTACAGGCCCAGCGCCGCCACCTCCCCGCGGTGGGTGACTTTTTCCACACCCCGCCCCCGCCCCTCCAGGGCAGTGTACAGGCAGGGAGAGGAGGGCGAGGAGGTGCCCCTCTGCCCTCGGGGGCGGTGGGAAGGGGGTGCTTCTCCCTAGAAGGCTGATGCCAGAGGGCAGGGGTCCTTGACAAATCTCTAGCCTCTTCCCACCCCGAAGATTCCTGTCCAAGGGTGTGGCTGCGTAGTGAGCGAGCCCCAGATGTCGACCTCATGGTGCCCAAGAGGAGGGGGAATTTCCCCCTCAACCCCGCTCCACGCTCCGCTGCTGCAGAAGCCAGGTTTCCAGGCGGCGCGCGGCTAACTCTCCCGGTCGCGCTGGCCCCGCCTCCCGCGGTGGCCAACTCGGAGGAGCTCTTCCGACTTTTGATCCTGTGGTCCCACGGCCACGGGACTCGGGAATCTAGGCGTCGAGGTGACCGGGTCTAGGCCACGCAGGGGCTGAGAGGATCCTGGACGTGTGCTTCCCCTTTCGTGGGACACTGGGCCTCCGGTCCCACCCCCTCGCGCGGGGCTCCTCCCTCCCTGCGGGTCCTCTGGAGCTTACAGCAGAAGGCGGCGCTGTCCTGGCAGGCCTGCAAACCCAGCTTCGCTATTGGGAGGGGTTGGGGGAGAGCGTGCTTCCTGAGGTCTGGGGGTGGAGTGGGGGAGGAGATTTGAGGTCAGGGCCAGGCCAGGAGGCTGTCAGTCATCGAGGGGGTATTAGGGATCAACTCAGTCCCCTACAGGGTAAGAGTAGAGGGTCCAAGGTCTGAGCACGGTGAGAAACAGGAGACAAGAGAGAAGTGAGGAACGGGGTCCTACTTTGAATTTGAAACACAGACCAAAAGCTGGGAGTGGGTATAGAAAGGACTATTGGAGTACCTTGAGCTGAAGCGGGCAGGATTCTGCCATTGGGAGAAAAGAGCTGCCGGGGACAAGGGAGGGGGTTTGCAGCTGGAATCTCTAAAGATGAGGCGCCTCTGTTCTCCATCCTTTTGCGAGTCCTGGGGGAGGGGAAAGGCTAAAAGTCCAACAGGAGGACTTGGGATTACTGGGTTGGGGAGACCCAGGGAGTTTCCATCCCTACCCTCTCCCTCATCTTGGGGAAAGGGACAATATGAGAAACATGAATTGGGAGACCCCTGGGAAACCACTGGTTTGCCCACTCCACTTGGCAGCCCTCTGAGAAACCCCACTCTGCAGCCCTCTCTGCTGCTTGTCCCATCTCCTCCTTTCCTCTCTCCCTCTTTTCTTCTCTGCCATTGGCCTTCTAACTAAGCCCCTAGCTTCCTCTTCCCCAATTCTATGGTTTTTGCAGGCCTGCAGGCTTACCAAACCACCTTTTTTTCCAATGGCTCTCATCTCCCTGAGTTCTCTCTGCTTTCCCCTTTCCTGGATCTTCCCTTCCTCCCACAGCGCCCTCCTCTTAAGATGGTGGGATCTAGATGGGGAAGGGATCCTAACAGCACAATGTAGTGGTTAACCCCCCCATGCACATTTAAGTCCTGATTTCCAAACTTGTTTGCTAAGTGGCCTTGTCAAGTTAGAGAACCGCCTTGGAACTCAGTTTCTTCATCTAGAAAAAGGGATAATTATATATTTGAAAGATTGCTGTGAGGCTCTGAAGAGATACAAGCATACCTCGCTTTATTGCACTTTGCAGATACTGCGTATTGAAGGTTTGTGGCAGCCCTGCGTGGAATAAGTCTATTGGTGCCATTTTTCCAGTAGCATTTTTCTAACTTTGTATCTGTGTGACATTTTGGCAGTTCTCTCAATATTTCAAACATTTCATTATTATTATATTTGTCATGGTGTCTGTGATCAGTTATCTTTGATGTTGCTATTGCCATAATTTTGGGGCAACACAAACCATGCTGATGATATAAGATGGTGAGTTTAGTCCATAAATGTTGTGCGTGTTCTGATTGCTCTGCAGACCATCTGGCTGTCCCCTGTCTCTCTCCCTCTCCTGGGTCCTCCCTATTCCCTGAGACACAACAATATTAAAATTAGGCCAATCAATAATCCTACAATGACCTCTAAGTGTCTAAGTGAAAGGAAGAGTGGCATATCTCTCATTTTAAATCAAAAGCTAGAAATGATTAAGCTTAGTGAGGAAGGCATGCTGAAAGCTGAGACATGCCAAAAGCCAGGCCTCTTATGCCAAACACTTGGCCAAGTTGTGAATGCAAAGGAAAAGTTCTTAAAGGAAGAGAAAAAGTGCTCCTCCAGTGAGCACATGAATGATAAGAGTGAAATGGCCGTATTGCTGATGTGGAGAAAGTTTGAGTGGTCTGAAGAGAAGATCAAACCAGTCACAACAATCCCTTAAGCAAAAGTCTAATCCAGAACAAGGCCCTGACTCTCTTCAATTCTGTGAAGGCTGAGAGAGGTGAGGAGGACAGGCTGACTCTCTTGTTAGGGGCTTATGCACCTTATGACTTTAAGGTGAAGCCAGTGCTCATTTACCATTCCAAAAATCTTAGTGCTCTTAAAAATTATGCTAAATATACTCTGCCTGTGCTTCACAAATGGAATAACAAAGCCTGGATAATAGTACATCTGTTTACATGGTTTGCTGAATATTTTAAGCCCACTATTGAAACCTATTGCTCAGAAAAAAGATTCCTTTCAAAATATTATTGCCCATTGACAATACCCCTGGTCACCCAAGAGCTCTGGTGGAGATGTACGATGAGATTAATGTTTTCATGCCTGCTCACACACGTCCATTCCGCAGTCCATAGATGGAGGAGTAATTTTTACCTTCAAGTGTTACTATTTAATAAATGTATTTCATAAGACTACAGCTGCCATAGATAGTGCCTCCTCTGATGGATCTGGGCAAAGTAAATTGAAAACCTTCTGTAAAGGAATCACCATTCTAGATGCCATTAAGAACATTCATTCTTCTTGGGAAGAGGTAAAAATATCAACATGAACTGGAGTTTGGAAGAAGTTGATTCCAACCCTCACGGATGACTTTGAGGCATTCAAAATTCCAGTGGGGGAAGCATCTGCAGATATGGTGGAAACAGCACAAGGACTAGAATTCAAACTGGAGCATGAAGATGGTACTGAATGTCTGCAATTTCATGATTAAACCTGAACTGATGAGGAATTGCTTCTTATGGATGAGTGAAGAAAGTCGTTTCTTGAGATGTAATCTACTCCTGATGAAGATGCTCCGAAGACTGTTGAAATGACAACAAAGGATTTAGAATATCATGTAAGCTGAGTTGATAAAGCAATGGCAGGGTTTGAGAAGATTGACTCCAGTTTTGAAAGAAGTTCTCCTGTGGGTAAAATGCTATCAAACAACATCACATGCTACAGAGATACCAGTCGTGAAAAGAAGAGTCGATCAATGTGGCAAACTTCATTGTTGTCTTATTTTAAGAAATTGCCACAGACACCCCAATCTCAGCAGCCACCACCCAGAGCAGTCTGCAGCCATCAACACTGAGGCAAGACTTCTACCAGCAAAAGGATTATGACTGGCTGAAAGTTCACATGATGGTCAGCATTTTTTAGCATTAAAGTATTTTTGAAATAAGGTACATACATTGTTTTTTAGACATAACACTATAGCACATCTAATAGATTTTCAGTGTAGTGTAAACATAACTTTCATACACACTGGGAACCAAAAATTCACTTGGCTTGCTTTATTGTGGAGGTCTGGAACCAAACCTGGAATATCTCTGAGGTATGCGAGCAATGAATTCAGTGTAATGCCTCGTACATATAAGTGCATAATTAATGGCAGCTATTTTTGCTCTACCACCCTCTTCATCATCTATCCTGGTAATACTCAAATTATCCCTTGGAGCCCTGGAATTTTGAGGGGGTTGATCAGGGACACCTTTGGGGTCAGGAGGTGGGGAAAAGGAAGTAGAAACGGTAGGGTTCCAAGCCTGCCACACTTGCTTTCAACAGAGAAAGCAGATTTACAACAGAGGTTTACACTTGACTGTAATCTATTAGATGTGCTATAGTGTTATGTCTAAAAAACAAGGATTCTACAAATTCTGCTGCTTTCAAAAGTTTGGAAACAAAGTTCTATGCTTACCTGAACCTCAAATTTTATAGATGAGAAGAGTGAGGCCCATGGCAGGGAGGTTCTTTTCCCAGAGAACCAGAGCCGGGTCTAGAGTTGCAACCCAAGTCCTCTGCTTTCTCTCAGAGAGCTTCCCTCATCTCCCCTGTCTTCCCAGCCCTCTGCTGCAGCTCAGCTTTTCCCAGCCCATCACCCCTGTGTCTGCCATGGAAGGGGTAACCCTGTCTCATGCATTGGCCAAAGATGTCCCTGGTCTGGCTGCGAGTGGTGGTGGGGATATTCTCCCAGAGGTCTGTCACAGGATGTCACTGGCTGCCCCGTAACATAGGTTGGCTTTCTTGGGCACCTCTCAGAGTGGCCTTGTTCCTTTCCTCCAGGCACTCTCTGAACTCCAGATCATGTCTCTGTGGGGTCTGGTCTCCAAGATACCCCCAGAAAAACTGCAGCGGCTCTATGTTGATTTTCCCCAACACCTGCGGCGTCTGCTGGGTGACTGGCTGGAGAGCCAGCCCTGGTGAGTCCTGCTGTCCCACGCTGCTCCTCTAGGCCCTCCCTGCCCAGCTTCTCTGTCACTGGATTTTATCTGCCCCATTTTGGGGCTTGGGGCCCATTATTCCATGTGTGGCAGCCTAGATTTAGTGGGAGTCTTTGCTGCATCTACTAGACTATGCATGTTGACACGTGGAGTCCCCACCCTGTTAGAAGGCTGAGCCAAAGAGAGAGGAATTCAGGTCTGGGGCAAGGGCGCTTCCCATAACAGCTGGAAAACTGGGGATTTAGGGGCACAGATGAGGGCTGCAGTAGGTCTGAATGGAGAATAGGAGTGGGCGGAGTCAGCAGAGCAGACCTGAGGCGCCCCCATCCCGATCTTCCTGCAGGGAGTTCCTGGTCGGTGCAGATGCCTTCTGCTGCAACATGGCCAGCGCCCTACTTTCCTCCACTGTCCAGCGCCTTCAGGCCTCAGCTGGGGAGCAGGGGGAGGGGAGCACCATTCTGCAACACATCAGCACCCTGGAGGTGGGAGCAGGAGGCGGGGCCAAGGCTGGGGTGGGGCCAGAAGTAGAGCTGGGGGGAGCTTTGGGCACTGGAAGAAATTGGCTGGGTGCTGGAAGCAAATTGTTCCTGTGGTTAGCTGTTAGCTAGCATGCAAATCAGATTTTAAAAGTATGTCACTGCATGAAAACTTAGAGTTCACAGCTGCACTGCCCTTCAGTGTGTGTGTGAAGGGGAGTGGACCGGAGGGCGAGCAACATAGTAAGAGCCAGGCTAACCCTGTCTACCACCTCCATTTCTACAGAGCATATATCAGAGGGACCCACTGAAGCTGGTGGCCACTTTCAGACAAATACTTCAAGGGGAGAAAAAAGCTGTTGTGGAACAGGTATTGTGATAACCCCACACCTCAACTCACCTCCCTGAATTTCTCAGGAGCCATGAGAAGCTAGAAGGAATTGGACTTAAGGGAAAGCTCAGTGTTCTAGGTCCAGGATGACCAAAGGGGGTTCCTGGGATCAGAGTGAACTTCAAGCCATGCAGGGGAGCTTCAAATGAGGGACCAAGGGTAGTGAGGCCTGGGAAAAGAGAGCAAGGGGTAAGGAGCTGATTCTGCTGAGAGAAGTCTTATCCCTGGAACATTCCACAAGGTCTGGAAGAATTATCAAAAGGGAGAAGGAGAGCCAGACAAGGGAAGTGGCTTGTCTTTTTCTGTAGAGCATAGTAGCAGGTACCCCTTTGGGGAGTGGAGGCCAAGTGTAGGGGGATGGGTAGAGTTTCTCACCTCTTGGCATCTGTCCTTCCTGTGCAGTTCCGCCACTTGCCAATGCCCTTCCACTGGAAGCAGGAAGAACTCAAGTTTAACACAGCCCTGCGGAGGCTGCAGCACCGAGTGGGGGAAATCCGTCTTCTCCGAGAAGCCCTGCAGCAGGGGGCTGAAGCTGGCCAAGGTGGGAGCCTGGGCCTGGAGCTCTAAGAGTGTTTTGGGGAGTGTGTGGGAGTGATCCCCTCTTAGACCTCCACCATGACTGAACATCAAATCTATCTGTACCCTTGATTTCTGTCCCTACCTTCAGTACCTCTGCACAGCTTGAGAGAAACACCTGCCAATGGGACTGGGCCAAGTGAGGTGAGTAATGGGCTGAGAGGTGGGGATTGTGTTCCAAGTGCAATCTTTGAGGGGTCTCAGATCTCTGGAGATTAGACCTCAGAGAGACACAGACTGCAGTGGGGCAAGGAATGCCAGAGGGGTGAGAAAGAACATACTATCTTTAGGAGCAGGCTGAGGAGGCAGTGTGTGGCCCTGGCTCAGGTCATCCCTGCCCACAGGCCCTGGCCACGTTGCTGCAGGAGACCATCGGTGAGCTGGAGGCTGCCCAGGCCCTGGTGCTGAAGAGGATCCAGATTTGGAAACGGCAGCAGCAGCTGGCAGGGAATGGTGCACCCTTTGAGGAGAGCCTGGCTCCACTACAGGAGAGGTTGGGGCAGGGCTGGCGGGGGAGGGGCGCAGGGGCTACACACCTGCTGTCCCTGCAGGAGAACCCACGGGTGTGAGATAGAAAAAAACAGACGAGTGGGCCTTGGAGTGGACCAGGATTCAGGGGAGCCAGCTGCAGCAGAGCTGTGCACACTGCTGTTCAGTCTTGTCCTTTATAAGCATGCCTGACCAAGGGTGCTCTAGCGGGAGCTCACCCAAATGATGGTTTTCTTTTCCAACCCTGAGCCCAGAGCCTTCTACTTGGTCTATTGAATGAGGACACCTTTCAATTTGCACAAAAACGCCATGGGTGCTGGCAGCTGATCTGGGTACTAGAGCTTCAGGGAAGAGGTAGCTGGGTTTCCACAGGGGGTCCAGGTACTGAAAAAGAATCTTCTATCCAGAGCCAGAGAAGGCCTCAGAATCCCTTAAGCTCAGGTGTCTTGCAGCCACACCCATTGCCACTCCCACCCCTCCACACACACTGTCCTGCTTTCCTCCTGGGTTTAGAGAAAGGGGATTTGGCTGGAGAAGGCAGCCTGAATCCTGTGCCCCCTGACCACTGTCCTGGCCCCAGGTGTGAGAGCCTGGTGGACATTTATTCCCAGCTGCAGCAGGAGGTGGGGATGGCTGGCGGGGAGCTTGAGCCTAAGACGCAGGCAGTGCTGATCAGCCAGCTGGATGAAGTCCTGCGAACCCTTGTCACCAGGTATGCCCTGCGAGCTTCGAGCCTGGCCCAGAGCAGACCCAGGAAGGAAGGAAGAGGGCTAGAGCTGTGGCGGAGGACAGAAGAGCACCTGGTTGCTAACTCCCCTTGTGTCTTCCTCGCTCCTCCCAGCTCTTTCCTGGTGGAGAAGCAGCCCCCACAGGTTCTGAAGACTCAGACCAAGTTCCAGGCTGGGGTTCGATTTCTGCTGGGCCTGCGGCTCCTGGGGGCCCCATCCAAGCCTCCACTGGTTAGGGCTGACATGGTGACCGAGAAGCAGGCGAGGGAGCTGAGCATGGCCCAGGGACCTGGGGCTGGAGTGTAAGCTGGGGCTGGAGGAGGCCTCTTAGGGTGGTGGAGGCTAGAGGAGCTGGGAGGACTGGCACCACAAAGAGCAGGGTGATGAGGAGGGGACTGCGGGATGTGGGGACCCTGAATGGTCAAGTCAGAGGAAGGAGAGGGGCCCACCAGGGTGGCATGGGGGCCTCACAATTTGGCCAAGATGGAGACTCCATCCTGAAGAAGCCAAGCAGGGAGATGGAGCTCTGGGGCCCTTGGCCATGCCCTTCACCATGGTCCTGAGCCCCTCCTCCCACCTGGCCCAGCCGCAAGGAGCCTACTCACTCTCTGACCTCCCCTGCTAGAGAAAGCACGGGGGAAATCCTCAACAACACCGTGCCACTGGAGAACAGCATTCCTGGGAACTGCTGCTCTGCCCTCTTCAAGAACCTGGTGAGGGCTTCAGGGAGCTGTGGGCCGGGGTCTGCAGACTTGGGCTGTCCTGGGAGAGGGTGTTGGCACCCTGGTCTCTGCCCTCAGCCCTGCTCTCCCTCACCCTACCCCACAGCTTCTGAAGAAGATCAAGCGGTGCGAGCGGAAGGGCACGGAGTCTGTTACGGAGGAGAAGTGTGCCGTGCTGTTCTCCACCAGCTTCACACTTGGCTCCAGCAAGCTCCCCGTCCAGCTGCAGGTGAGGGGAGGCCCTGGCCTGCCCAGTCCAGGCCCTAGGCCCCACGTGCCACACACGGAGGCCTGGATCCTCATCTCTTGTGACTCCCATACCTGTGTGTGGCAGGTGCTCCTGGGCCAGGGTGAGCCCAGGGGCAGGAACAGGGAGTGCATGCTGGGAATAATAGTGTGGTGGAAACCAATGCGGTTATACCCTTTTTATAGGCCAGGCTGCTGTTTTAAGAACAATACTCACATACTTGATTTTCACAGTAACATTATGAGGTAGGTACCATTACTAGCCTCATTCTACAGACGAGGACGCTGAGGCAGACAGATTGATTAATTTTCCCAGGTTACACAGCTCCTGTGTTGGAGCTGACATTTGAAATCTGGAGGTCTGGCTCCCTAGCACTGACTCACTTTTCTACAGGGAGGCCCTAATTGAGCTCCTGAAAGTGTTTGATAACATACCACGATCTTTTAAGTATGTTGTGTGAATCTGATAGCTTCCCCATACCCTTGGAGCCAGCCGAGGAGGAAGCCCCTTGTCCCAGTAAAAAGAACCCCCTTTCCTTATCCCCTGCAGGCCCTGTCTCTGCCTCTGGTGGTCATTGTCCATGGTAACCAAGACAACAATGCAAAAGCCACCATCCTGTGGGACAATGCCTTCTCTGAGATGGTGAGGAAAGACCTGGAGCAGGGGCAGGAGGTAGGGTGGGCTGTGACATGGGGGATGCAGGCTGGTGGGACAGCCCGTTCAAATGGGAGTGATCTCCACTCCTCAGGGACCTGCCTTCGTACTTCTGACCTCTTTGCATGCCAGCCTTATGATGTTGAAGTGTCCTAAACTACGGTTGCAAAACACTATCTTTGAGCATGAGCTCAGGGGCACAATGTCTGGGAGGGGTAACCTTGAGCTGGTGGGAAGTGTGAAGGCCTTCCTGAGGAAGAACAGGGATGATAGCCTGGGGCACCCTTTCCTTCTCCCCTCTCCCCAGGACCGTGTGCCCTTTGTGGTGGCTGAGCGGGTGCCCTGGGAAAAGATGTGTGAAACTCTGAACCTCAAGTTTATGGCTGAGGTGGGGACCAACCGGGGACTACTGCCAGAGCACTTCCTCTTCCTGGCCCAGAAGATCTTCAATGACAACAGCCTCAGCATGGAAGCCTTCCAGCACCGTTCTGTGTCCTGGTCACAGTTCAACAAGGTCATTCCCCTGCCCTTTGGACCTCCCATCCTCACAAGCTCTTCATGCCTGGGCCACTCAGGGCCTCCCCAACCTCAGCCCAGGAACTGACTGTTGGGGTCTTCACTATGCCTGGCATGTCTATCAGGAAGGCCCCTGTCATGACCCAAGCAGGAAAACAAACCCCTCAGCTCCAGGGGTTGGCCTGGAGGCTGCGTCCTCTGGCATCCTTCAGATTTTGGGCTGGGGGCCCTCTGTCCTCCCCCTCTTTACCAGCGACTGTCATGACTTACCTAGATTATGTGTACACACAGTTCTGACTCAAAATGACTTTGACCCATTGGGAAAATAGTTCCTATTGTAAAAACCTGGATGAAGTTCCACAAGAACACATGCAGTAATACTGGCTACTGTGTGCTGATAGCTGACTATATGCCAGACATTGCACTCAGCGCTTGACGTATGTTACCTCATTTAATCCTTCCAACATCCCTTTGAGGTAGGTACTATTATTATCCTCACTTTACAGACGAGGAACCTGATGCTCAAAGGGGATACATGGTTTGTCCAAGGCCTCACAGCAGACAAGTGGCATGCCTGCGATGGAACCCCATATTTTTGACTCTTGCTTTTAGCTACTATGTTTTACTGCCTCCAAAATAAGTTGTCTTTGGACTGGCTCTGTTACAAGAGCAGCGGAGAAGGATCTTGGTTTCTTGGTTGATGGCTAGCTGGGTAAATGCAGTCGTGTTCTGCTCTGTTAGAAAAAAAAGAAGATTGAAAAGCTCACGTGGCCAGAGGATGTGTTAACAAAAGGAGCAGGACATTCATACCCAGGAAGCCACCTTCTCTGGATCCCACTTCTGCCAAGCTTCATTAGGGAGGGGTGAACCCCAGGGTTATGAGGGACTCCACACCAGACTTCCTGGGCTAAACATGAGCTCTTCCTCTAACCAGCAGTGTGGACCTGGGCAAGTTATTTGAATCTAACCTTTCTGGGTTTCCATTTCTCCATCTGTAAGGTGAGTTAGTTAGAGGACCTACTTCCATAGGCTTGCAAAGATCAGGTAAATTAATTTATGGAAAGGGCTTAGAATCCTTCCTGGAGCACGGTAAAGGTGAGTGTTGGTTGTTGTCATTTTTTGGTCCACTTTGGTCTCCGTGCCCTGGGACTGTGTCATGTGGACACTCGGCTCAGTGCCTGCAACAACCCCTCCAGCTCTGGCCCTCCTGTGCCCACACCAGCTCCCCTCTTCTCCCACAGGAGATCCTGCTGGGGCGTGGCTTCACATTTTGGCAGTGGTTTGATGGTGTCCTGGACCTCACCAAACGTTGTCTCCGGAGCTACTGGTCAGATCGGTGAGTCCCTGTCTTGGCTGGCCTGAGCAGCTGTGCCTCCAGCTCCCACTCCACACCCAGTGTCCCCAACCCCGTCCTCTCCTCCCTGGCCAGGCTGATCATTGGCTTTATCAGCAAACAGTACGTCACTAGCCTTCTTGTCAACGAGCCTGATGGAACCTTCCTCCTTCGCTTCAGCGACTCAGAGATTGGAGGCATCACCATTGCCCATGTCATCTGGGGCCAGGATGGTGAGGCCACCCCAGCCAGTCCTCTGCCTCTGTGCCTGTGCCCTCTGGGGTTTCTTCTGGGAAGGAAATGTCTTGACCTTCCTTGATGACAACTCTGCTCTTCAGGAGGCTCTTCCTTAGGTCCAGCTTCTCTCCCTTCTGTGGTCTGAATGTCTACCTTCTCACTGTGGGCTCTGTGGGAATGGATTGGAGGCTTTCCCCACCTCAGGACCCCTAGTCTGGCTCCTCTCCCCGTTGCCTTGATAGATTGAGAATGAAGCCTGTGGTGGGACGGTGGAGGGGAATAAAGTCTGGGCAGGGGCACTCAGGGTCTCATTCCTATTGTAGGCTCCCCGCAGATAGAGAACATCCAGCCATTCTCTGCCAAAGACCTGTCCATTCGCTCACTGGGGGACCGAATCCGGGACCTTGCTCAGCTCAAAAACCTCTACCCCAAGAAACCCAAGGACGAGGCTTTCCGGAGCCACTACAAGCGTGAGCTGGAGCTGGCAGTTCTGACTCCTTCCTGTTACCCATCCCCACCCTGCTCCCAGCTGCCCCCGCCCTGCCCACTATGTGTCATCCCTGATTTCTCTCTCCATTTTTGTAGCCCCAATTTTCCTACCCACCCACATTTTCATCTCCCTCCTAACCCTGCGTGCTCCACGGCTTTCTTTCCTCCCCCACAACAGCTGAACAGATGGGTAAGGATGGCAGGGGTTATGTCCCAGCTTCCATCAAGATGACTGTGGAAAGGTGAGTGGTGGTGTGAAGGGTGTGTGGGGCCTGGTACTTACTTGCAGGAAGGGGTGGTAGAATGTCAGTCACCCATACCACGCCCCCTTCCGGCCTCCAGGGACCAGCCACTTCCCACCCTGGAGCCCCAGATACCTTCCATGGTGCCCACATACGATCTTGGAATGGCCCCTGATTCCTCCATGAACATGCAGCTTGGCCCAGATACGGTGTAAGGAGCCTGAGAGATGGGGATGGGAGGGGTCTGTGCAGCTGGGCTCTCAGTGTGGGCAGCTAGGAGAGCTGGCACTGGGGGCTCAAGTAGGGACTTTCCTTTCCACAAAAGGAAAATCCCTACCTTGAGGCAGGGCGTGGGGTGTCGAGGAGAAGGGCTGATGTTAGGGGGTCTGCTTTCTTTCCCCAGGCCCCAGGTGTACCCACCACACGCTCACTCATATCCAGCCCTACCCCTGGAAGAATCAGTCAGTGTGTTGCCAACCTTCCAGGAGTAAGTGGGAGAACCTCTTTGGGACTGGGTTACCCCCTGCAAGGGACATGGGCATTTGCCTTTGTTAGGAGAGGAACTTCTGTGTGAAAGGGGCAGCAGAAGCTAACACCCCAGCTTCTGCCACTCCACTGAGGCTTTAGCCCTTAGGGCTCAGAACTCCCAGCTAGAGTTCCAGCTCCTGCACTTACTGACTGGTAAGGTTCTTAACTCTGGCACCTCAGCTGTAAAATGGGGAATAGTGATACAGTAATCCCTTCCTCATAGGATCGTTGTGCAGGTTGGTTAATATGTGTGAAGTTGCGCATAGTATCTGGCTCACAGCAAGAGCTATGTAGGTATTTGTATCCTCTCTCCTGCCCCTGAAATCCACTGTCATTTATCTGCAGTCTTGATTTTTATTTATTTGTCTGTTTTGGCCTTGCTTTTGGCCTTGAAGTGGCCTAGACATCTTTGTTCCCCAGGCAACACTCAGGTGCTTTACTAACTAGTCAAGGCACAGCTTATCCTCTCTCAGGAGTTGAAGTGGGGGTGGGGACCAGGGGGATCTAGAACCATCAAAGTTCAGAGTCCAAGGAAGCATTGGGAATTAGCTAATCCAGCTCTCCTCTCCTCTCCTCCTCCCACCCCACTCCCAGTCCCCAACACACACACATTTTACAGATTAGAAGATTTAGCTCACAACTAGAGAAGGCTCGCAGAGGGCTATGCATCAGAATAAGGACCTCGAACTTGTTGCTATTCAGTGGTCTTGACTTTGCCATACTGTCCTTGCCCAGTCTTCCTTTCTGACTATGCCCTCCTTCCTGCCTCCAGACCTCACCTGCAGATGCCCCCCAGCTTGAGCCAGATGAGCCTGCCCTTTGACCAACCTCTCCCTCAGTGAGTAACCACCCATCTGGATCCCATGCTCCCCATTCATTCCTAGCCTCACTCTTCACCTCCTATCTTACTTTTCTGGTCCCTGCAGGGGCCTGATGCCATGCCAGTCTCAGGAGCAGGCCGTGTCCAGCCCTGAGCCCCTGCTGTGCTCAGATGTGACCATGGCAGAAGATAGCTGCCTGAGCCAGCCAGTTGGAAGTTTCCCTCAGGGCACTTGGTGAGTGGTGGCCTGGGAGCTGTCGGCTGGGTGGGGGCTAGAGGAGTGGATGCCAAGCCTACCCCACTGCTTCTCCCCTTCCTCTCTGCAGGGTCAGTGAAGACATGTTCCCACCCTTGCTGCCTCCCACTGAACAGGACCTCACCAAGCTTCTCCTGGAGGGGCAAGGGGAGTCAGGGGGAGGGTCCTTGGGAGCCCAGCCTCTACTTCAGCCCTCCCCCTATGGGCAGTCTGGGATCTCAATGTCCCACCTGGACCTAAGGGCCAACCCTAGTTGGTGATCCCAGCCAGAGGGGGAACCCAGAGACAGCTCTTTCACCCCCACAGACCTGCTCTGGACAGCTGCCCATGCTCCTGCCAGCAGCAGGTGGGGTGCCCCCCACCCCCACCTACTCCCTGGCCAAGAGGAAGACTGCCATAAGAATGCACAGTGGGTGGAGCCCATCCACATCTTCCTTCCTTCCTACCACACACCCGTCCCCACCTTCCAGAACTGGAAGAGAAATGCAGGTTCTAAAGTGAGACACACCACAGCACGCCTGCACATGCAGAACACACAGCTCTCCTTGGAAGATGGGAATGAGCAGGAAGGGGGCTAGGCAAGAGCACAGTTTAGGGCATGGAGGGCCTCTCCACCCTCTCCCAGCCAGGGCCCAGGCTGCCTGTGTAGAAACATGCAGACATGTGCACATTTGCAGTAGATAGGATGGAGGGATGACTCCCAGCCTGGGGTGATGGGAAGCAGTACAGGACACCCTGGGTGGGAAGAGGGGGAGGGTCTGTGCATCTGGTTACTGATGTGGGTTTTGTCCAGATTAAAAAACAAATCCCAAACAGCCCCAAATTACTGTCAGTCAGATGTTTGGTTATGTGTAGGTGATTGGGCAGAAGTACAAGGGCTGTTTGTGCATAGGTGTGTGAAAGTGTGTGTACCTGAGACATGTTAATATAGAGATGTTCACGTTACTTGTATGGCCACATAGAAAACATGTCCGATTTTGCCTGAGTGACACCACAAGTTTGGAAGTATAAGACACTGCACACACACCAAGTGAGTGTGCTTGCCTCTTTGATGTATGCTAACTGCAATGTACTCAGCTTTGAGTATGGCTTTGTCCAGCTGGGTCTATGTGGCTGTGACATCTGTATGTGGCTGCAGCTTCAGTGGCCAATCTTGCATGGAGATAGTGGGTGAGTCTGGGGCCCAGGCTCGTGGTCCTCTCAGTGTATGAGGGGGCCTACCCACTGCTTCCTTCCTATTCCCCATCCTTCTTGCCAGCTTCCTTCCATTCCCCCATCCCATACCACCCTTTCTCCCTCTTTGTGGTGGGGGGTCATAGATCCTAAGCCATAAAATAAATTTTATTTCAAAATAACAAAATAAATAATCTACTGTACACTATCTGAAAAGAAAGATGCTCTAACTGCTCAGACAGGTGCTGTGGTCCAGCCTCCAAGGGAGACCTGAGTCCAACCCAGGCCTCCCCAGGGAGCCAGTGAAGGGGATCCTACTCCCACCACTCCCAAAAGGGAGGAAGGAAAGAATTGCTGAGGACTTGGGGGGAAAGATGAGGATAGGTGGGCAAACTGCAGCACTTGTTAAATTAAAGAAACAAACTAGAAGCACAAAAATGGGGGAGGAAAAGATGAGAGGAACAAGTCCAGTGCTCCCAGGCCCCCAGTTCTGGGGGGAAACGTTTCCATTTTTAGCTGCTGGACCTTTTCAGGAAAGTCCCCCTTTCCCCCATGTCCAAACTGAGTCCAACTGCTCACACCACTGGTTCAAATTAGAGAGAACAGGAGTGTGTTGTGTCAGGGAGGGAAGAACCCCAAATGCCCTGGGGGCAGAGTCCTTGCCCCATTGTTCTCGGCAAGGGTGAGGGGGCACCACACACCCTCTTTGTGTCCTCTCGCCAGGCCCCTTGCTCGTTATTGCTTGAAGCTCCATAGTTCTATGTCCATGGAGCAGGTGGGGAGGCAGGAGAAGAGCAGCAGCAGGATCCAGGCTGTGATGAGATGCCTGGGATTGAGGGTGTGAGGGTCTGCGTGAGCCAGAAGTCCGGCTCCTGGCTCTGATGACACCAGTCCACCTCTCACTGCCGGCTGGCCTCAGCCTCCACTTTAACGCTGCTCCTGCGACCTTCCACCAAAGCAGGATGGGGTCCTGGGGCAGGGCATCGGTCCAGTAGCCCTTCCTCAAACTCTGCAGGGAGAAGGGGCAGGTTAGGAGGCTGTGGGGTGGACGCTGCACAGAGGGGTGGTTGAGAACAGAGGCAGGGTAGAGAAGGCTGCAAAGATGAGCTTCATTTACTCAATTACTGCCTCTTGCCCACCATGTGTGTATGGAGGGAGGTTCCATACCCAGATGTGTGCCCCCTCCCCTTTCTAGCTGTGTGTAGCTCTCTGTCTCTGCATGTGCCTCTTTCTCTGTCTCTCCCGCCTCCGTTCTCCTGGAATTTCTGGTTCTGTCAGGAGCTGTGGGGGTGGCTTGGCTCTGACCTCTCCCCTTCCCCCTTCCCCAGGCTCTGCCTCCCCCATTTTATCCCTGGCCCCCTCCCAGGCCCCACCCACCCTACCATGCCCCCCATCAAGTTCTTACAAGCCAAATCAGGGGGAATACAGGAAGCCAGCCTCCCAGCTCCTCCCCCAAGAAGAGCCCCCCTTCCAGTCCCCACCCCCACTTCCCACCCACACGCAGTTTAAAAATACCAAGCCAGGGTTGGTGGCTTTGTCTGCTGCATCACTCTCAGCCCAGCCGCTGCCCGGCCCTCTGCTGGCCGACTCCCTCTTCCCCATCGGCACACAAAGCACCCCCCTCTTGGCTCCTCAGCTTCCACACTGGGTAACCTCCCCCACCCCCCCAAGTCCTAGACTGCTCCACCCTCCTGCCCTGGTGGAAGTTATAGCCAAGTTTCCCTTCCTGCTCCCCTTCAATGCCCCATTCACTGTGCCCCTGCTCACCCCAGTTCCCCATTCACAGAGCTCCAATAGGGTCAGACTCTCCCCAGAGTGAACAGCCCTGCACAGTCCTCCTCTCCTCAGCCCAAGGCCTGGCTGGCTGGAGCACGACCCTCCTACAGCTCTGAGGACTGTGCCCCTCTTTCTTCCACCTGGCCCCAGGGACACCAGGATTGCTGTGTGGGCCTGGGTGGTGGGGGTGCTTGGGGACAGCACTGCTGGCTGCCTCACCTGCGAGAGGTGGCTTCGCAGGCACACAGGGGCTGAGGCGGCCCATGCGGTCATGGGAGACGAGGCGGGCTAGCCGCAGCCCCTCATCCATCAGTGTCTGCTGCAGGATGTGGCGGCTCCACAGCCCATGGGCTGGCAATGCCAGAGGCAGGTCAGCAGGGGGCGGCGTCAGCCTTGGGCATGACCCCACAGCTGTGGGCATGGGCATGGGTCAGATAAGGGACTACAGTCACCGCAAACCCCACCCTCAACCACACAGCCAAACCCATAGGCCCAGGCCCTTTTGCCCCCATCCAGCCAGGCCTCCCAACCCTGTTCCAGGCAGTTGCCCCCTGGCTCCCTCCTCCCACAACCTCCATCCCACCACCGTAAGAGAAGAAGTGTTCTGATGCACACTTACCCTGCAAGTGTCCATCTAGACTCTCCCCAGACAGGCTGGCACTGTCTTCCTCCAGGCTGGGGCGGTATGGGGGTGCATAGGACTCAGGGCCTGGGGGAGGTTGCTGGATTTCAGAGTGACTTTGCTCTCCAACCTGTGGATGCCCCAAATGAGGAAATGAGGGCCTGGCAAGGGAGGGTGTTGGGGAAAGGCTATGCTAACCCCCTTCATGCAGCCTGGAAAACCTACCTCCTGTTTTAGCTTCTTGAGTGGGGGGCCTCCCAATTCTTCAGAGTGGAGCCTGCAAAGATGGAGAGGAATAAGGAGGGTGAGGGACACAAGATGGTTGGGGCCCGGAACCTGGTGAGGGGCTTGCATTATTTCAAGACTCCAGAAAGAAACTGGCTGACCAGGAGTCTCCAAATTGGCACTATTTTTGTGGGTGGTCAGAGGGAACCTGAGATAAATGGAAGGAGGAATCAGACCTTAGATAAGTGGATTTAGCTAAAGACAGGCCATGTAGGTGGGTGGGCAGCAGGCCTAGAGGTACCTGAACTGGAGATTAGGGTGTAACTCAGCTCCTTGGCAGGATTCTAATCTAGGAAGGACCTGGAGAAGGGAGTCTCACCTGGAGCCCTTCAAGGAGGACAGGTAGGTGCTCTCTCGGGCTACCTGGCGTGACAGGGAGAAGAGCTCCACCCTGCGCAGTAAGAGCGTGTTGTCCCTCATGCAGAACTGGGCAGCAGCCTCGTTGATGGTCAGCTGTGGAGGGCAGAGCAGTCAGAATCCTCCCTCCTCTGCCCAGACCTCCTCACACCCCGTCAACCATCAGACAAATAAGGTCCCTCCATCAGATGTTTGCTTGGATTTTGACACAACGAAGGAGCTTTCTAAAGGAGGAAGACAAAGGCCAACACCCACAGCTTCCTAGGAACTCCTGGGGCCTCCTCTACTTCTGTGGGGTCCTGACCCCACGGGGCTGGACAGCTGGGCTCTTGCCTGTACCTCTGCTTTCCCCTCAGTAGTTGGGCTTTGGGGTGGTGTAGGAAGGGGGTCAGGGCCTGGGGTCCTGGTCAAGGGGCAATGAAAGAGTTGGGGAGTGTGAGGGTTCTCAGAGGTAAGCAGGTTGAGGCTTGGGAGACGAGCAAAGCGTGGGAGGCTGGGGTCCTCACCTCATGCAGGCTGAGCTGTTTGCCCTCCCGCCGCTTAGAATCAAAGCGGCCATAGATGATGCTGTATTTGCGGATCTCCTCCTCCTTCTGGCTGTCATTATCGTCCATCTCAAAGATGTGCCCCACGCTCCGTGCTAGCTTCTTGTTCAGCTTTAGCAGGGAAGTCACCTCCCCAGCATCCCCCCTTGGAAAGCTCCGGAAGATCCTCTCCACACTCTCCACCACCATGCGTACCATCTCTGGCTCCAGTCGATCTGGACCACCCCCAGCCCCAGCTGTTGCCAGCCCCCCAGCCCCAGTCCCCTCAGGGACTCCTCCCCCTCCAGGTGGGGAGAAAGGGGGTGAGCCAGTCTCCTCTTCTCCTCCCGCCCCAACGTCAGACTCTGGAGTGCTCTGGCCTGGCCAGATTCGGGGGTCCCCTGCCCCAGGTCCCCCAGGCAGTGGTGACAGCTTCTCTCCAAGTTCAAGGGGGCTCTTGGGGCTAAAACTTCGGGCACTGCCCGCCTTTTCCCCTGGGCTGCTGTGCCCGTTGCTTATGCTTCCTTTCCGGGTGCCTGCAGTCTCGGAGATCTTAAAGAGTGGAATGCTGGAGACAGGCACGGCAGGCACTGGCTGGCTGAAGAGCCCTGGATTGGTGGCCCACTCTCTCAGTGCCTTCTGCAGGCGTCGGACATGTAGGGGCTTGGTAGCCATGCCCACAAGTGCCATGATCTCTAGGAACTCCTCCTCACCAGCCTCGCATAGTTGCTGCACATCGTCCCCTCCCTGCTGGATGAAGGTCTCATAGTAGGAAAGGAGATTGGCGCGCTGCAGGACCCGGTACAGCTGCAGCTCCCCCAGGGTCCGAGGCAACGCCATGGCTCGGGCACTGGGCCTGAGAAGGAGGTACACAAGACAGAGAGGGGGCAGTCAGTGCAAGTCCCCCATGCAGGGTAACCCACAGTCACAACTGTCCTTTTTCTTGCCTGCTTTTCCCCTCTATTGAATGCTTTGTCTGCTTAGTGTCCAGGCCTGAGCACAGACTGTGAGAAAACAGGTAACAAGCATAGCCATGCTAGTACCATGTCAAACTGGCCAGAAGAACCAAACCAGTCCAGTCTCTGCAGAAATCAAAGGCTCTTAGCTAACACCCTCAGTTTGTACTTTTCTGGCTTAGGGCAAGGATACCTTGAGTGCTGAGACCAGCCTGCACAACCCCCGCGGGGGTGGAGGTAGGGATGGGGGTTGGATGAACCTCCCTCTCCAAAATACAATCCTCACCTTCCACCCTAAACACCCAGCAGTCACAGCATTACTCAAGGTGACTTCCCGCACTGAGGTGAATGTAGGACCCTTGTCGTCCCCACAGTGGACACCTGGGACCACTGCTGGCCAGCTTCACTCCCTCTTGGCATGCTGCCCAGGTGACTGAGGAGGGGTGTGGCCCTTTCCTTCTCAGTAGCCAGGTGGACCCCTGCTCCGCTCTCTGAAGCTCTCCCCTGGATTAGGCATTCCTGCACACTCCTGCTCTTTGTCCCAGGGACTCTCCTCTCTCCCAGGCTGTCCAATGCCCCTCAGCTGTCCCTTCTCCCAGAGTGCCCTTCCTCACCTACTCTATAGTAGGCACGGGGGACAGGAGAAGTTCCTCAATTGTTCTGCTCA